ACATCGTATTACAATCGGAGAATAATGACTTGAACACTGCCACGCTGATGACACTGACATTTTACGCCCGACTTCCATAAATTGTCGTAAAATACTGTGACCAAAACGCAATTAGAAAATAATCAAGGTTTGTAATTGCCATGATATATTTATGTGTTCTCAAAGACAAGAGTAAAATGACCTCATTGAGGTTTAATGGTTATATGATTAGCATAAACAACTCTAACATGTTAGCTAACTGATTTTGAATCGTCCAAATCACATTAGCTACACACACACTGTTGAGATTTGGCAGATGTGTACATTTTGTCCTCAGCCGGCCCTTTGGTTGCCCATGAGACCCTTTGTGGAACATATTTTTAGAAAGGCGTAGTGACCACATGCGATACCAATGCAACACAGTAATACAAACATCAAACATATCAGTGTGGAATAACAGCCCATTTCTTTTCCTATGGGGCCCATATACACTTTGGTTAATGTACACATTAGATTAAATCTTGACAATTCTGAGGAACAGTCCTAATTTAAAAAACTTTTTTTTTCAAGTTCCATACACTACCTTATGAGCTTTAATAGTAAAGTCTTTAGTCGACAAATGTCTTCCTCAGCTTCCTGACTATAGCTAACTTTCATCTTCTTAATTTGAGCAGATGCAATACATTGAGCTTTTCGAGTCTTCGTTTAACTTGCTGCTGTTAACAGAGTTAATTGGAGCCGTAACGGTGCACCGAATCAATGAAGTTGTTGCACGGGAGAAGATTAAAGGCCAAATAGAGCCAACATCTGCTGTGCTGAGGGCTCTATACCAACCTGTCACCATGATATAGAGAGCTTTACAAGTCCGTTAACGATCCACTTGTCCTCTGTGGTCAGGAACAAAATCTAAAGTTTATCACGGCACACGGCAAATTGGGGAAAGGTGGTCGATGTCACTGATTGGGATTGTAAGAAAAGATCGGTATACTGGGCTGGACTCAGACTAATTAAAGTGCTAATCAACTTTCAGTTGAGATGCTTCATGATTCTGATTAGAATGCTATTAGGATGTCTCCAAGGGCAGGGTTACGGTTTCTCAAGAGAAGGCATTAAGACACAAACAGGAAAAGGTCTAAAAACGCTCCAGTGACCCCCAGAACAGAGATCCTAGGATCTCTACTTAGACCCTGTTCCGTACGATCAAAAGTGGGAAAAGGTTGGATGAACAGGAAGATTTTTTAACATTGATTGTGACAGCTTTGTCATCCTTGATATTGTGACTGACTATATGTATTCACAAAGATGGCAAATTACCTTTTAAACTGCTATCTTCATGTAAAAGTGAAGATTTCGATTTCCCTGAGTATCACTGACCAATCGCTGCGCGGTAAACAGTTGCTTGGACAGCAGCTGCGGCCGGAAACCTTTGTCAGAATGCAACCGCGAACCCTGTGGATTTGAATTTAGCCTCTGGCTACCTGCTGGTTACAGGAAGCCCCGAAACACCAGATTTTGCCACCAGATGGTTAGTCATCACACAATAATGGACGGCTGACTGCAAATGACCACAATGGACTGACACAGTAATATACTGTACGTCGGGCTTTATGGGTTAACCCTTTAAAGGCTGGCCGATCGGCTTTTGTCTAATTTGAACTTAAACATCCGCTTTGGTCTCTCCAGGGGAGTTTTCACATTGGGGAAAGGCGGTAAAATGCCAAGAACGAGCGTCTCGAGGCGCTCAAAGGTAGGAGTGTCCGGTCACGGTGATGGCTCAATCAAGCCGATGTCAGCGTTTCCGTCTCTGAAGGCCGTTTGTGTGAAATGTATTCGTTCTGGGTGCCGGGAGAAGAACTCTGAGCGGCTCTGCTCCTGGCAGAGCGCGGCCTCTGTCTCGTGGTGGCTGTGGTGCGGCGTGTGTTTGCTTTTCCAGGACCCCCCCCGTCCCCCGCCGCGCCGGGTTTCGTCCCGTCTGCTCCCTGCCCGGTGCCCCATTTTGTACCCTCTTCCTGCTCTGCCAACAAGTCTTTCTTTCTTTCTTTCTTTCTTTCTTTCTTTCTTTCCCACTCCTGCTTTTATTCTCCCGGCTCACATCTTTCTTGGCGAGGCAAAACGTTCCCACAGCTCTCAAAATCCCCCCCCCCTCCCCAAATGTCCCCCCTTCCCCCCCCCCCCCCCCCCTCCCTCTTTTCCTCTCTTCACCCCCTCTCCCTTTCTTTCTCTCCTCCATTGACGTCTTTGTGTGTGCGTGTCTGCGTGTGTCTCTTTCTCATCCTGACTTCTCTCCTCGGCCTACCTCTCTTCCCCTCCCCTTTATTTTGGTCTCCCTTCTCCCTCCGTCCCTCTCCCCCTCCTCCCCCTCGACAGTCTCTCCCCCCCCTCCGTTCCTCCTGGCAAAGGCTGGCATCACATGATCCCCGTTCCCACTTGTGCCCAAAACCCAGCCGAACGCACGCACACACACACACACTGACAGACACGCATCGAAGCACACACACGCATGCATATATCAGAACATGGGAAATGGGAGTGCAGCTGGGGGGGCTCCTGTCTTTCATTCAGAGCTGTGAAGCCCAGCGCTAAACATTCTATACTCGCTTCTGTGTGTGTGAAACTTAATCTGCAGCCATCAGCGGCTCAGCGCGGACCAGCCTCTCCGGACTTTTCCTTTATTTTCACTCGTAGCTAACATCCGACAGGCCCACCGTGGAAAACACCTTTTTGGTTTTAGCTAATTCTTTAGAGCATTTCGTCTCCCCCTTTTTAGGGGTTTTGACCAAAGGCCCGATATGCCGGAGAGCCTCAGGCTCTCCCAGCCCTGCCCTCCGCTGAAATCTTTCCCACTGCTTTCTCTTTCCTCTGCGAGAGGCAGATTTCTTTAGCATGTGTTGCTGCCGTGGTGCCCCCCCCCCTTCCACACACACTCACTCACTCCTCCACTGCCAACAAGTGACATCTGCAGGCCAAATGGAGAAACGACGCATCTCCATATGCATTTACAGCTCAAAGGGGAGAGAGGTTCAAACCAAAGGTGCAAAGAGAGGAATGTAAGATCAATATTGTTGTCAAAAGCTTTGAAGACTGGCCTCAAATTAGAAGAGGATTTTTCGCTTTCCTGCTCTTGCTTCTACTTTGAGAATAAGCAGTATAGTAAAGAGAAGCCCCCCCCCCCCCCCCCCATACGTTTCCCTTCCTTTCCCGACTCCCCTGCCTATCTCTCCATGTACATCACAGCTCATCAGCATAGGCAGAGATAAAAGAAACGGGGCAGAGGGAGAGGAGAGGAGGGGTGGGGTGGGGGGGCACGCATGGGCAGCGAGCCAGACCCCTCCATCCTACCACCCCCTGCCCTCTTCTCTCTCCCATGGTTGATTCCCTTTAGGCCCCCTCTCACCCTCTCTCACCCCGTCTCACCCCCCGGCTCCCCGGCTCTGTGTGGCGTTGGCACGGAGAGGGCGCAGGCGGCACACAGACGGCCACGCAGATGGGCAACGGGCAATGCGGGGCTGCCTCCCCACACCTGCTCCTTGCTGGCACGGGGCTCGGGCCAGGCGGCACACACACACACACACACACACACACAAACACAGATGTGCATCTAATGCAGAATTATTGCTCTCAATTTATAGAACTTTCCCACATATAGACAGAATCAGAAGGCGTGGGGGGTGGGGGTGTGG